CGCTCTCTCACGCTCTAGCTCTCAAATAAATAAAATCTTTTAAATGGGGGGTGTGAGCGCCTGGGTGACTCAATTGGTTAAGTGTCTGCCTTTGGCTCAGGTCCTGATATCAGGGTCCTGGGATGGAGCCCCAGAATGGGCTCCCTGCTCAACGGGGAGTCTGCTTCTCTCTCCCTCTGCCCCTCCCCCTGCTTGTGCTCTCTCTCTCTCACTTGCTCTCTCTCAAATAAATAAGTAAAATCTTTAAAAAAACAATTTAGGGGCACCTGAGTGGCTCAGTTGGTTAAGCACCTGCCTTCAGCTCAGGTCATGATCTCAGGGTCCTGGGATCAAGCCCCGCATCAGGCTCCCTGCTCCGTGGGAAGCCTGCTCTCCCTCTCCCACTCCCCCTGCTTGTGTTCCCTCTCTCGCTGTGTCTCTCTCTGTAAAATAAATAAATAAAATCTAAAAAAAAAGTTTAAAAAAAATTTTAAAAATAAAAAAATAGACTAATAACAAAATGTGAATATAGTCTCTACCGTTTTGTTTAGATGCTATCCACTTAATACTTATTAATGCAAAAAGTTAAATAATACCCTGTTGCCATTAGAATTCCACCCATAACTTTTGAGGAATCAAGATTGATCACTCCTGACAAACAGCAGACCTTTCCAAAGTACCACAAGGAGAGAAACTTCTCAGAAACCAGGGGTTCTGTAAGGAGACAGACATAATAGCTCATTTCCCAATGAAACTGGCAGGGGTCAATGTCTTCCAGTTAAGTCTGAGGAAAAAGCCATTAGATTTCTTCATGACATCTCAGAGTTTGGATGATCTTCAATTAGAGACAAAGAACACCTTCAAAATATATAACATCTACTCACCCTGAAATATCCAAAGAAACCTGAAAATATTCAGAACTACCAGTATGTTCATTGAACAAAGATGATGCCTCCATCCCACCTCCAAGATCTATTTCCTGAGAACTCAGCAGCAAGATAGAAATAACAATAAAAGGGAATTAAGAAAAAGAATAACTGGTTAATGGCTTATAGAGGAATAGGATCCCCCCCCAAAAAAAGTGAAAGATGATGTACAGAATGGGAGAAAATATTTGCAAATTATTTCCCTGATAATTTACAGAATATATCAAGAACTCTTACAACTCAACAAAAAAAATAGACAAGACAATTAAATGATGAGCAAAGTACATGCAAAGACATTTCCCCAAAGAAGATCTACAAATGGTCAATAAGCACATGAAAAGATGCTCACCTTCATTAGCCACTAGGGAAATACAAATCAAAACAAGGAGATACCACTTCACACCAATTAGGATGTGTGAAAATTAATAAAAGGAAATCCCACTAAAGTAGAGTCCTGAGGCTAGTAAGGGGAGCCATACAGAGGCAGTACAGGGAAAATGAGAGACTCCATTCCTGTGTAGTCACTGGTGGGAGGCAAGGGTGCAAAGTTTCCATATGTTTAGAGACAGATACCTCCTTCTCGGAAAGAGAACAAAGGAGAGAGAACAAGTTGTCAGGGAGTAATGGTTGTTTGAGCAAAAACAGAAGAAACACTTTACCCAGATATAACAATTTTAAGCCTGTCTGCACAAGTATTTCTGTTTTTCAGGTGCCCTAAAATATGTCAGCCATTAAAGAGCGACGACCAGAAAACAACGACATTTTTCTTGTCAGCTCCCTTGTATACAAGCTATCTCTAATAAACTCCACCTGTATTCTTTCTCTCGAGTTCAGTGTTCATTTCTATGCCATTGAGACTCAAGAATCTGGTTTCGGGGGTCCCATAATATACCACTCAATACCTATTACAAGCAGAATTATTAATTACAGACCCCAAAAGAATAATCATCAATTATGGGCTCCCAAAGGGAAAAGATGTACCTTGCATTTCCTACAAGAAATTGACCACCCCTGCAACTCAGCCAATGAGAAATCGTCATCGCCCTGAACTCTTGCTCTTCTCCAATGGTCTTTCATTCAAAATAATCCCTCCTAATTTTCTCCCTCTTCTTCATAAAATAACATTCCTCTCCTTTGTTTATTGGATTTGTCTATGGTTTTGTCATAGGTCGCATGTCCAAAATTGCAATTCTCTGTTATTCCTAAATAAACCCATTTTTGCTGGTAAAATAACTGTTTTATTTTTAAGGTTTGGGTATAATAATTTTTCAAAGGAACATCACAAATGTTGGTGAGAATGTAGAAAAATCTGAACCCTTGTATGGAGCTGATGGGAATATGAAAGGGTGGAGTCCCTGTAGGAAAGTTTGCCAGTTCCTTAAAAAGCTACACAGAATTACCCTAAGCCCCAACAATTTCACTCCTAGGTGTATATCTAAAAGAATTGAAAACAGGGATTTAGACACTTGTACAGCAATATTTTTCATCAGGATGATTCACAATAGTCAAACGACCCAAGTATCCAACAGATGAATGGATAAACAAAATGTGTTTTTTTGTGCCATGGCATATGATTCAGCCATTAAAAGTAATGAAGTTCTGTCTGGAGCTGAGACCGTGCCGAGAGAGTGTCAGGAACCCACACCTGTCATGCCCGCTTTGGCCTCAGCTAGCCTCTTACTTGATGACTCAACCTGTGACCCATTTCTGTCTCAAGGACAGCCTCGGGGCCTGCTAGCCTCCATGGATCACAGTTCAGCAAGCTCCACATACTTTCCATGCAAGCAGCATCCTTGGAATGCCGCTTCTCATCACAGCAGTGAGGGGCAGGGATCCCTTTTTAAAAAGAAAGGAATGCAGTTCCAATATGTGCTATAATATGGATGAACCTTGAAGAGGAGATAGGGAAGCTGAGGGGACTCCATTTTTAGAAGGGCTCTATCTCTGCTGTTTTTCTGTTAGGCTCCATTTCCTCATGTTTTGTATTTTGCATCTGCGTAACCAAAAGAAGCTATGTTCCCACTCCAAGGGGGAAGCACAACAGTTAGTCATTCTCTGAGTTTCTCCCAGGCCCCCAAACACCTGATAACATCTAAGAAGAACCAGGTCCCAAACATGTGCCAGGACATTAGATTCAAACAAACCTCAGCCAACGCTAGCATCAATATCCTCTACATTTGATGATCTATAAAATAACACTTATGATTCACCTGTCACTCACCTTTGATCAGACCCTACCCTGGATTCCTGAAGGAACACATACCCTGGACCCCTTGCCCCTAACTCCAAGCAACAATGGAGATTTGTTCTCCTTTCCTTCCCTAGTCTCCCAGGCATTCTGTCTGCCATAATTGATCACTATTCAGTAACCTCTGCTTTTACTTCCTCCAGCTCGAGTTTGATTTCTGTTCTGTGCAAAGCCAAGGACCCTCTTGGCTGGTCCTGTGGGACCTGCCTCTGGGTCCTTGGACCCAACTTTCCTGCATCAAAAACACTATGGTAAGTGAAAATAAACCAGACACAAAGGGCCACATATTGTATGATTCCATTTGCACAAAATATCTAGAATAGGCAAATTCATGGAGGCAGAAAGTAAATAGGTTATCAGAACTGGGGGTGGGGGGGTGGGTAGGGAGTGATTGCTTAATGCTTACTGAGTTTCTCTTTGGGGTGATTAAAAATTGGGGGATATATATAATGGTGTTGTTTGCACAACACTGTGAATATAATTAACACCACTGAACTGTGTGCTTACAATGGTTAAAATGGCAAATCTTATATACATTTTACTACAATTAAAAAAAAACATATGTGGGGCACCTGGGTGGCTCAGTCGTTAAGCTTCTGCCTTCGGCTCAGGTCATGGATTTACGTTCCTGGGATCGAGCCCGGCATCGGGCTCCCTGCTCAGCGGTAAGCCTGCTTCTCCCTCTCCCACTCCCCCTGTTTGTGTTCCTTCTCTCGCTGTGTCTCTCTCTGTCAAATAAATAAATAAAATCTTAAAAAAAAAAAAAAAAAAAACATATGAGAAAGAATTCGTTTCCCAAAGGAAAGGGGATGCTGTTAGCAGAGTGAAAGAAAAGTCATTAAGTAAAACCCAAAGTAACTACTCCTCTAGGAGATAGTTCAAACTGCTTATATTAGCTTTAATGTAGCCCTCAATAGTCATTTTCACCAGAAACACGAGTATAGGGAGTTAGGGAGAAGACAATGTCTGTAACTGGCTTAATTGCCTCTTTGCCTAGAATGACTAATTCAGTTCTTGCATTTCTTCACAGCAAGGGGGGAAAGGAAAATGGAAATCTCAGAAACCCCTCGAGGTGATGTTTATTGTTGCTGCCAAGTGTATTTATTTTGTTTTAATAGCACCACCTTCTTATTAAACTCAGAATACCCATATGGTCATATCTTATTTGCTTGTGGTAAATGCTCAGCTGCCCATACCAGATTCACAGGAAATTCTGTTATTTTCTCTTGGCAGATGGGCTCCTACTGAACTGTCCTAGAATCAACCACGGGGGCTCACACTGCTCCAAACCCAAGGGAAGGCCAGCTTCCATTCTCAAGGGGGTAACTAGCTCAGTCCACATGTGTGATTGCTCCTCACTACCACAAGATGGTACTGTCAGATCACACAGAAGCATAATGAACGCGGAGCTCCAATCCTCCGTGTACCTGCTGTTTTTCAGAGGCGAGGGTGAGTCTTGGTCTCCCTTAGGGCTCAATTCTTTCAGTTCCCATACCAAGAACTAAGATGCCCCCAAGACTGGTTCTGGCATTTGCTATTCCACAGTTCCCTGGTCTTCCCATGGGATCTACATCACCCAGAG